TGTGTGTGTGTGTGTGTGTGTGTGTGTGTGTGTGTGTGTGTGTGTGTGTGTGTGTGTGTGTGTGTGTGTGTGTGTGTGTGTGTGTGTGTGTGTGTGTGTGTGTGTGTGTGTGTGTGTGTGTGTGTGTGTGTGTGTGTGTGTGTGTGTGTGTGTGTGTGTGTGTGTGTGTGTGTCATAAAATTATTAAATACACTTAAAACAGAAATTGTTTTACCATCTCTGGTTAAAGAAAAATCAAAGTGGTAAACAAAAAGTGATCCCCCTTGCCCTACCTTAACCAAGTGTCCTTCAGAGCTCCCTTGGGGTTGAAGTAGACCACCCTCTCCAGGGACAGGGAGAAGTTGGTGCCACTAGCATCTGAGATGTACAGGTGAGTGAGGGTGGCATTGTGGTTCACACAGGCAAATACCTGGTCTTCTGAGGCATCAGCTATGTAGTAGTCCTGTATAAGATAACATTGGGTACATGTGGATTAGGGTCAGGAAAATAAGACCAGTAGAAATGGGTATGGGGAAGTTTTTGATTTACACATTGTGTACTCTATAATTATTATTCTTATTAATATTATTATTATTATTGCTATGCATCTTGAAAATATTGTTCTAATTTAAATTATTTGATAACTTTACACTGGAGAGATACTTCAGAAAATATTAATATCTAAAGAAAATTAAAGACCATATTGTAATAAATTCAACTGTAAATTATAATAAGACTTGTTTTTAAGAAGTCTTCCAAATATATGCACCTTATCAAATTTTTCACAAAAGCATAGACATCACAAATATATCAAAGTTACATGTGATTGTTTATGGCTAAAGTATGAAAATATATTTCTTGTGAATAAATGAGAAGTTAAACATACACAAAAATGTTCACACTAATTACTATGTAAATAAACTAAAACAGCAAATCTCAACACATTTCTTAGCTTCAGTAACAAAAAAGATGGCTCAAGTTCCTTTATCGTATTCCTCCACATTTTTTCCTTAATTCAGTTAAATTGGAGAATGTTCAACCACCAAATGCAGTGTTTCAAATCATTTGTACCCAGCAAATTTAAGCTTGGGAAGGGTATTGTTTCAGCATGAGGAATCGTTAGGAATGTCTACCACCGATTCTTAGACCCCGTTCCCATACCTAGATGGATTTAGCAGGATCGACCCATCTCCGAGGGGTTTCTCACTTATCTGCATTCAAATCAAATGACTTAGATGTCTGACATGCCTAATGAAGCTGCTCAACGATAATTAATTACCCCCTAACAGCTTCAGTAAGCGTGCCAGACATAAGATCCGCTTAAGCTGAATGCAATTTAGAAAGAAACCCCTGTGCCAATCCTAATAGATCGATCTAGGTATGGGAACAGGGTTATATTCACAGAAACTTCCTTTCTCTTGGATGTGTAGGCTATATTTTATTCTTACCAATCCATGTAAGCTGGTTGGAAACCGTGCACGGGAGAAAGGGCCTCCATTGTGGGAAACCCAGAGTATCTGGGATTGGTTATGATGGGAGTCTGCTGTGAGGGACTATAATGTAATAATATAATACCACATTCACAAGCCTATATCCTATATAGTCAACACAAACAATGACACAAATCAGAAGTACACGTGTGAGTGCTATCCTATCTGGTGCTTTCATACGGTGGCTTCTGCATATTCCTACTGTAACACTGAAATGTGAAGAATGTTAACAAAAGAAAGCATGCTGTCTTTAGTTGAAAGAAGGGTTTTGTTATCTCACATACTGAACTGAAGATCAACGTTTCTTTTCGAAACGGCTGTATTTACTCTGTGGGTAGACAAAATTTACCAGTGTTGTGATATCATGGAATCATTTTAAATGGTCATGAAATGTTTGAATTTTAACTCCATATTAAACATGGAGTATGGATCTGCACGATACAAACACCCTTCAGTCATTAAGACACAGGACTGTAAGTCCAAGAGAGAACAAAATACATGTTTTCTCTGGGACACACAGCTCTCAGTAGGAATTTCAGTAAAATGCAAAGGTTGGGAAAATGGGATGGAATGCTGATTTGTTTATCTTTTACCTAAATCTGATGTACCTGATTTTAATCTGTTTATTTTATTTTTTTTTTTTTAATTCATCTTATTTATCTTAATTTTTCATTTACATTTACTGAAATCCCTCATTACTATTCAAACATCAAAACTTGAAAAAAAAAGGCAGAAAGCAGGAATAATAGATGGCACTGCAGGCGGCATTAAAAAAGCCAACAGATGGAGCTGCTGTCTGCTGCAGTGGCCACTGGGGCATTCTTACCCTCTCAAATAATTGTGATGGAAAACGAGCTCTCTGGAATAGCCCGTCCCTTCCTGAGACCCAAAGTTGCAGAGTTAAATTCTGCTTTTGACTGCCTGTAACTCTCTAATTAAAAATCAATAACAGAGCGAGGTTGAACTCCAAATTACACATTCAATACATATTTCTAATGCAAATTTTATTATTACAAATTATGCACACATCAGTTAAATAGCATAAAACAGTAATGGATAGCTAAGAAATATACTTTATATGTAATAATTCATGAGAGAGAGAGAGAGAGAGAGAGAGAGAGATCATTCAGTGTTGTTCCCACTTACCATACGCCTGGTGGCAAACATATAATCATTTTTTATTTCAAAATCCACCACATCAGCAAACACCGTCCTGATGTTCAGTGGGTCATAGTTGTGCATCTTTATCACAGTGGATAGCCCTGTGGGTTCCAGGCGCTCCAAGTACAATGAGGCATTATTTATACCAGTGCCCCTGAAAATAAAAACAGTGACCTTCAGGGTGCATGTGCTGTATATTTATACATATGAGTGTGTTGAACTTGTTAAAGCCAGGTTATTTTTTGAGAGATAATGCAAACTTATGTGGTCCAAATGGTTTTAGGCCTGCTTACACTACAATTTACTTTCAGGTGGATGCAGGCCAGTTTTTTTTTTTTTTTTTTTTTTTTTTTTTTTTTGACAATCCATAAGTGCATGCTTATCAGCTCCGATATTTGGCAACAATTTCAGTCTACCACATCTGTCAAAAGAGCATTCAGCTGCCTGGATTTTGAGGTTCCAATAAGCACTGCTTAAATTCATGCCCATCTTGTATGATAATTAGAAACTGAAAAAGCTGGTACACTGGATCTAAAACTCAGGCCGGCATGCTCGTGTACTCACACAAAAACATTGTTAAATATGGACCATGCAGTTGTTTGCTTATCTTGAGCAGCCACTTGTCACCACAGATAATAGTGGAGTGTATGCCAAATCTGATAACATGTTTACAGGGGTATATTTATGTAACAAGTTCTACAACAATAAAACTTGTGCTACAAAATAGTGGTCACTCTTGCCTAAGGATTACAACACTGATTGCTACAGCAACTCAAATCTCAACCAATAGATGGCACCATGGTAAGCTAGCCATAGTCTTGTTTCATCCACTTAGTTTTTTTCTTTATTTAAAAGGCAAACAATGCAAAAGGGATCTTTATAAATCTGAAAAAAAAAAAGATTATCTCACCACTGGAATGATTTGACGTTCCTCTGCAGCATCGACCATGACCTCCCAAAGTCTCTGGACAACCACAGCTAAAATACAGTTATATCATATATCATAATACTTGTATTAACTTCATATTGTAAGCACAACACAAATACAGTAGAGGTCCTCCCTCAACTTGGCGCTTCACAATTCAAATTATCACAAACAAATCTTATGGAACGGATAGTTACATTGATATCAACTGGAATAGATGTGAACACTGCCTATATATCAGATAAATTCCATTAATATACATATATCTACTAGTAAGTACTGATGACAAGCCTTTATCGTATCTAATACACACATAATTCTAAAATAATCTCATTTCATAGTAAGCACATTTGGTTTTATTAGAGTCACGAAGCAACAATCCCCCACAATGGGACCTTATCAATTTGAGCACAATAATTTATCTTTAGTTTTAGCACATAGAGAATTTGCGATAATATTAGTTTAAGAATAAAAATATACATAGCAGTTAATTCGGATCATTTTCATTTCGAGTAAAATCTTTTTTAGTTGTCCAAAACACATTAATATTTATGCATGTAAGACTATTTCAAAATAAAAATATATTTTACAGTCTATATGGGTAATCTTCAATTTGAGTAAAACCATCAATTTAAATTGCTCAAAACATACTTAGTCTGATATCAGAAAAAACAAAATACTGAGCAGTTTACTTACATCACTTTCTATTTGACTTAAAAATTCTGAGATAACCTTTTCTATACCTAATAAATATCAATTAATGAAATATTTACCAGTTTATAGGGATCATCCTCATTTTGAGCCAGCACAATATTGGGGATAGACCTGTGTGGGACCACCTGTTTAGGGGTAAAGCTGAGAGGGACCTTGGTGAAGGTCCTCCCAAAGTCTGTGGTGACAAACATATAGTTGTTTTTGATGTCTGTGAACAAGTACTGAAATGAAAGAATATATATCATGAGAAATTGTTAACTGATTGATTGACTGATTAATATTATCCTATAACTCCCATAATCAACCAAAATGATTATGGCACTGAAACTTGTTTATCAAATGCTCGGTCTTTTTCCTAATCTACATACGAGGTAACAACTTTTGATACATAAAGTATTACGTACATTAATATATATGTAACTCAGATTAGTAAAACTTGAGCGATACACGACTTCTGCTTAAAAAAAAAATTTTTGCTTCTCATGTAGTGATTTATTTGATTTATGTTAGTTAAAGAGTTAAACTTTTAAAGAAACAAGCTAAAGTTGATAATACCTCAGCTTGTTTCTTATGGTGTACATAAAGAGCTAAATGAAATATAAAACTTTCACCAAGCAATTGACATGATAAAAAATGTGCTTTCATACACTCACATGTGTATTATACACAGGACTGTTATAAAACTGGCTGATGGTTGCATTCTTCGTCCGATTCAACTTCAGCGCAATGTGGCGGAATGAGTTCCCATAGTCACTGGAGACATAGAGGTCGCTGCTAAAGTTTGGCGAATCTACATTGGTGTCCCTGGCCAGTGCTACTATGACATCAGAGTTCTCTCCAGCCCAGTGGACAATCATTTGATGGTGAGAGTCATGCAGCTCCACCTATTGAGGAAAAGATAAATTAAATCAGTCAGCACTACAGTATTTGCAAGGTCAGAATTTGAAATGGGTTGCAGGACACAAAAAAGTTCTATTTCACCCTGTTTTAAGAAAACTCGTCTGATATGTTCTACCCTTATTATCCACCTTGTGATAGAAGAAACAAATTTTATGCATTTTAAATTTGAAGGAGAAAAGCACAACTTTAAATAAAAAAGGGAATACATAAAAATTTAACAATAACAATAGTAAAAGTAACAATCTGATTTGTGCTGTCATATGTTACATTATTAAGGAACTTCCTGGTAAAACTGAAATTTTTAAAGATTTTTTAATAGGAAAATAATTGAGAAGTGTGATTTTAATGCTTAAAAGCATCAATGATGCTTGTTCAAAATGTAAACTTAGAACTGATTCAAATTCAGATTGTCAGGGAACTGTAACTACCACTGTTTATGAATAGATATTTACAAAAATACAAGTACAACAATTGTATTATACTATATAAAGTTTACTGACTATAGTATATCATAAATCAAAATAATGTCATATGCACCTTGAATACTAAAGCTCCCAGTCATGCATGATAAACAACAATCCACCCTGACAGTTATAGATACTTTTCTAAAAATACACACTTAGTTTATAATGCCTGTACAAACACCAACACATCCTTGCACACATACGCACTCATACACACACTAAATGATATTTATTTAACATTATGTAGAATATAAAACTTATCAGGTTGAGAAACTGCATTTGTTCACTTTCAACCAAAAAAGATTTTTTTTTTCATTCTTTTTTCATCTTTCCCGTGGTTCTTTAAGTCTGTACTAAATAAGTCATGGTTCCAGTTTAAAGTAAGATCTATTCTATTCATCTCAGTAAGTCAAAGTTTATGGATAGCTCACCAAACGGAGTCTACCTAATCATTTAATTGTCCCCCCTGCACCTTTTGGTGAGCTGGGCAAACTTGCTAGCTACTTATAAAATTTGAACAAAATGAATCAGAAATATTCTCCAATGTTTTTTCTGGTTATGTGTAAAATAAAATAGCTGATCAATTCAAAATTTGTGAAAAGTAAGTTTGGGATTTTTTTTTTTTTTTTTTTTTTTTTTTTTTTTTTTGTGAATCCATAAAAAAGTAAAAAATTGAATTAGAAAATACTGGAGTGAGTGGGGCAAAATTTCATATTGGAGTGAGTGGGGCATTTGAAAAATTCAGGTCATTACTGTTAACAAACAACATGCAGAGACGGACCGTACCACATTAAGTTGGCTAAACTAGAAGTGATCTTTATGACAGGCTGTATCAGTCTATGCCTGCACCCACCATTCCCTTTACAGTAACTTCTAAACTGAAGCTTTCTGTGCCAGCCATTAACTTATATTGTGGCTCAATTATTTCAATTATTTAGGAAAGGAAGCTGGCTAGGTTACCTTTTTGAACAATTTCAGTACAAGTCTTTAAGTTAACACCTGAGGGACCATTTGTGTCCTGCCATCTTCTGATATGGCACTGATGTTATATCTATATCAGGTCTATAGAGAAAACCGAAAGTTGCCTAGAAGTATTTCACAAAATAGAGCCTTACCAACAACACCATTCAAATGCAAATACTAGTAAAGCTTTAATGGAAGCCCCCACATGACATAATGATAATAATAATAATAATAATAATAATAATAATAATAATAATAATAATAATAATGACAGTCATCATATGCTGACAGACTGATTCAGTACTACATTACACTAGTTCTGTATATTTTGGAATGCTTTTAAGAGGCTTGTATTTGCTTTTAAAAAAATACAAGCCACTTTTTAAATAAGTCCTTGTTTGAGAGAGACATACTTTAGCATAGGCCCAATAACAACAGCTAAATGGCATGTCAAAACTTCGGAATCCTTTTTTTTTTTTTTCTATTTGTATTACAAACAAAACGTTTTTGAGGGGTGGATTAAAAACATTTGCTGTAGAAATCTACTGAACAATTACCCCTTCCACAGTGAATCATCATGCATGACTCGCAAGTCTTTCTATAGACCATTACTGAGTTATAAAAAATGTCGTTCCCAATAATAATACAGATAGGGTTACCAGCATAAACCTTACCTGGCAACTACAAAGTTATCATTACTGTGCTATACTGATAATGGTGGAAAAAGCAGAGAAGACAGATGATCTCATATCAGTATATGTTATTATTATTATTATTATTATTATTATTATTATTATTATTATTATTATTATTATTATTATTATTATCGTTATTCTAGCCTACTGGACACTGTCACTAGAAACCCCTGAAACTACTTGTATGAGTTAAAATTGACCAATCTTTAGATTAAATACAGTATATGAAATTTGGGAAATACTAAACACTGTCAAAATAATTCAGTGGTCAGTATGAAAATCTCCAGCAGTCCAATCAAAACAGTAGTTGTAATGTTTTTGATTTTATTCTAATTTTTTACACTGTTCACTATCTTTCAGCAAGCCTGTACTGTTCATGCTTTATTTACCAAGCACACTAGTATAGTTTTAATTTCAGAGCATGTATTCACATACTTTAGGCTTAATTATTAACCATATGTAAATAAAATCATGTTGTAAAATGCTTGTGAGCAAATACTCTGTACAAGCCCCTGACTTATCATAAGTGCTCTTGCAACAACAATCAAGATATATAAGCATAGAATTCAAGGGGTCTCAGCTAGAAGTCTTGGGCCTCCTGCATATGGCATACAGGCATAAACAATGAAAAGTAATCATAAAGTGCAGTCAAGGATGGGGAAGAAGTTGCCTTTTAAATCCCCTTGTCTAGCTCCATACTCGCCTGGTCTTGGCAGTGCTTTTAATAATATATATATATATATATATATATATATATATATATATATATATATATAATAAAACAGAGGTTTACATACGTTTTATAACTTCTATAATTGTGTTGTATCATGTATGCTTCCCAGGTCGACCAGATATAAAGATCAGGCCTAAGTTAACAGTGCCATAAAGACCAAGCATAAAATAATAAAGATCGTTACTAGTAGTCTCTTTTATTAAGGATATGAGGCTACGAACACAATCTTCACCCTCAAAATCTTTGGCTCATGGCTGATGTCAACATAATATATCTTAAAATAACTACTATATTTTAATCCCACCTAAAATATAGCATTAGACTGTCCTATGAATCACTACTGCTGATTCAGCACATATAAGCTTGAATTAGCCTTTTACCTGTTTCTATATCTAATTAGCACATATAATAGAGATCTAAAACCGTTAAATGAAAGTGCAAATACTTCATGGTAGTGTTGATAATTAGAGCCAGGTTTCCACAAATCAGACCCCAGGTAATGATATGCAAAGCATTTCTCAGACCCTAGACTGCTTACATGAAATGAGACCTTCATTAACGACCATTACCACAGTATCAGTGACAGTATTATATCCAAAGAGACATTATCATAAATCATATCAATAGACATGCATGATGTAGATAATCTTGTTGTCGTTATTGGGGTTTTGTTTACCAGTTGGCAATGTTATTCAAGGGAGGGGGTCTTAGACCCTACTGCCATACGTGCTGAATACAAAGGGGATACAGGTACCACCTTGATGCAAGGAATTAATCACGAGTCCCTTACACAACAATCAACATCCGGGTTGACATATATTCATAATCATGAAACAATTCATGTTTTTCGAAATGGCTGATCGCTGATGTATGGTACATATGTATTCAACTAGCCCCTAGAAGACATTAATAAGAATGTGTGTGTCACATAATACCTCACAGGTGCTTGCAGAGGCATTACACGCTGGTTTCGTCGCTGCTCTCTTTTGCCGATTGTGCAAGGGGGTGTCCTGTTCCGACTCCATTTCTGCAGCCAGACGCTGGAAAATCTCCTCCGCACTCTCATTTTCACGCATGTTGATTGTAAACCTATTGTTGTTGAAATATTCTTCATGTTTCTCTCTTCTCACGTGCAATGTCTCTGATTTTGATCCATGTTTTAATGCCACATTTAACTCTATCGATCCTAACAGGAAAAGGAAAGTAAGTGGCAATGTCGCCGCCATGTTGTTATGCGCAGCACTCATGAAGTGGTTGCGCTAAATGAACTAAACAAAGTAGTTCCGCTTCGTTACACCATTTTAGGGTATCGCATAAGGGATCCAAGAAATGATTAATTATTTAAATCATTTGGTAGATTTTTAAAGGGCTGGTGGAATAAGTTTAATTCACAAGTTCCATCAAAAACAAAACATATTCATACGCGGCACCAGTTACGCTCTGGTACAGGTGTCCTCGAAAAAAACAGGTGCCATGAAAAAATGCGTCGTTTCGTAAACACGTCGTTCAAACTTTGTCTAAGAACGTTCTACCTCACGCAGACTGATCGGCAGTGAAAACTGACAAAGACCAATGGACATTTGGTCTCACATCGACAATTAAACAGCTTTCATTTTACTCTAATACATAATTAGGGACTAATCAGTTAGATCCAATTAGACTTTACAGCATCAATTATGCTATCTTTTTACTGTAATTTTTTATATCTTATTGGCCGATATAAATTATGGGTGTACAATAATTTGTACATCGATTATTAAGAAATGTGAGGTGCAGAAATGTTTTTGATGGCACGTTTGTATTTAGTTGTCACAACCGGTCTCAACTAACAGAATATTTAATATTCGACTCATCGTTTTGTCGATCTGAGGTTTGGGGTGGAGGATGGGGGGGGGGGGGGAGAGTTCCTTTTTTTCTATCGAAAAGGAGCACAATATTGTTTCAATACAGTTTTTCCTGCGACACATTATATTTCTATGAGTTGTTTACAATGTAATTTATTCATAATTGTAAAATATAGATCTCATACGAAGATCTCCCGAATGTGCAACTGGTGTCGTGTGATCAAACTATCAAACTGTCGCTGTGTTCAGTGCGTCCTGAGATAATCAAATTAGAATTATGCCTATATATGTAAAAAGTTTTAAATATCTTTAATATGATTTGCTGTTAACATTTGTCGACAACATTCGTAAGATACAATGATATTGATTCACAACAAAATCAATAAGCACATTTTTGAAGGAATGAACAGTTTTGCTGCGATCGAACTGCAGTCTAGTCTTTATCGTCTTTTATTTTTCACAAAATCCTACAACACATGTTATACTTATTTTTGTTAAATTATCTATTCATTCATTCTTAAACTTTATGAAGCAAGTCCAACATGTCCAACTGTCTTCAATTAAAGGATTTTTTTCAAAGCGACTTGCAGCTCTTGACGTCACGCGTCATGACGTACCTACTCAAAATCTTAGCTAATTGGCGTAATGAACGTTCATGTTAAGACAGAATTTGAGTTTGAGAATTTAAGTAAATCGATTGGGACTGAACGTTCATTACGCCAATTAAGAACTAAGAAAAGAGACTGTTTTCTTTGTTGGAAAACCACAGGAAGCTAGATTTTGTACTTATGTAAGTCTGGAGCTTCTGAACCATTTCCTGTTTAACTATTCACAATAGTTACATAGAAATTAGGGAAAGGAAAAAAAACATGCTTGTCAATTATGATGTATAGTTTCCTGGGTATGATGACGACCAGAAGTTGGAGTTTGTCATAAGTGACTGCAGTTGTAGAAGAACTGTAAAATATATTGTAAGAGCTAGCTTTCAAATGCAGACGATCATTATCATATACAGTACGTGGGTTGTTATACTATATAGTCCATGATCACCATACCACGATAAAAAAAACAAGCTGTGTGTTCCTATATTTTCCTTTCATTACATTTTCAGCAAATAAGTAGAGCCTATATATTGGCTTGTGGGCCCAGTGCCGTAAAAATGACTGCCTGTGCGAGTCGCTCTACTAAACTACTAAGTTATAACGGGCCATGGAGTAGATCAGGGCGATTTGTATAGGGTGGCGACTGTAAATACAAAACCTTCGTACCTTGACGCAAGTCTTATAGAAACTGCAAGTCTTCATTATGACTAATATAGTTTATGAGAAAGCGAAAACAAGTCTTAGAATTTTCTGGCAATAAAGCAAAATGTATGGAAATAAAAAGTCGTCACCGAAAATTGCAAGAAGCTGAAAAAATATTGTCTGGAATTTGGTAAGATCTAAACTTAAGTCTGCCAATTCCAACATAACCCGTGATATGGCAGAGGGGTTTTGGTGATATAAGTAAGCATTCGCCAAACACAAGAAATTATAGAAAATTAAATTAAGTTGTGCATAATTTGGTTGAAATCGTGGAAAATCTGCGGAGACAATTGGAGTGCTGTACTCCAGAGACTAGACTGCTACTAGTTGTCCTTTAACATACAGATCACCAAGATATAGTGAGTCTCGAAATTTAGCGTACAATCAAGCGAGATTCCCCAAGAAAAGAAGAAGCGTTAGTCAGAAATAATGACAGACTAACGAATGCAGCAACGCAGAAAAGTTGGCAGAATTTATTGACATATTTTTCTTGTTGTTTATGACAGTGTATAACAGTACGGTACGAACTCACTGTTTTCATGCCAGCGCTCGATGTTACTTTAGTATTGTATTAATTCCCAGAACATATTGTTTTGTCTTTATCGCTAAAAAAGTTAACCACATCAAGTGGATTCTGGCACGTTTTCTAGTCTACCATGACGTCACGCAGTACCAACAGCCTCGTTTTGTTATCAAGGTTTGGTGACGTCACAGGATGGGTGTAGCGCATTCAGCGTCTTACCAGAGCCCTTTCTCGCATCGAGCGGTACTCTCAGAGGGGTATCTTAGTCAAACAAAGACTTACCTCTACATTATAGTTTAACCTTTAATAAGTCAATTCCTTTGGTTGAAAACGCACAATAAAACTTCACCTATTAAAAATTTACATTCTAATGAGTTCAAGGAGTAACCCGTGGAGCTTGTCCCTAGGAGAGATGAAATATCCCATGCCAGAATGCAGTTTGCGTTGATCATGATGCGTCGAAAGGTAAAATAGATTAAGCGTGAACCTCTCTGCAAATCGGAAATGAGAACCTCGCGTCATCACAGTGAAGTTATCGCAGTGAAGGTTTTCCGTCATCGTGCAAATATCCGATAGAGGTAAAAGGGGACACACACTAGTTAAGGGCGGTAATTTTAGCGATCGGCCCTTTCACTTTCGAAAATATATCCTATAAACAAGAAAGCCTCAATCATTGTTTAGGTGTGCACGCTGTGTTCATTACAACACTTCATTCATTCGGGTAACAACTCATCAAATTACCGATGCGCCAGGAGAAGGCACGTTATCTTCAAGAACAATTTCGGACAAAAACACTAATATTAGCGACCGCCAAATGCGTCGATTCTGTTGGAGAATAAAATACAGCTTTGGAGTAAATAACAATTGCTAGTTATCAAACATTGGTACCTGCCCTTCGGCTTGGATGTCAGTTTAAGAACAAAACAGTTTATCAACTGAAATAATTATAGCAAGGAAAGCCCAATCATCGTTCAGATGTGACAGCATATCAAAGGAACGGTCGATTCGCAGGAAGAAAGTGCGTTATTCACCAGTCTGGACTGGTTCACTTTGGACAACTTTATAAAAAAAAACTGTCTGTAACGTTTTTAAACAGAGCCATACACAATTTTATGGTTGGCTTAACAACAGGAGCCGAATTCTCAGAGAAATTGTGAAATGGAGTGAAGTCCCGTGAAACCTCCGTACATTCGGATGTCTCGAAACGAGCCACTTTGACTGGATCAGTTTTAACAACAGGAAAAGGGTCAAAGTGTTCGTGTAGAAAGGAGTTGGCCTTTTTCCAAACAGACCATTTGAGTTTTACTGCTACATTTGTTTCTGTTACTATCGTCATGTCTGCCGCACCTATGTTTGTATGGACAGGTACATGTGTATTCAATCCACTTTGACCGCAAATTGCACTTGTCCTCCCCTTGTTTCCTCAGCCCTATTGTTTCAAGTAACCTGAAAGAAAGATGCCCTCGTTTAGCACGTTATTGCCCCCAGTAACTCTGAGCATGTCTCTTTATCACTGCTTCCCACTGATAACAATAGGCATTACCCTACATCCATGTGACCTGTCGGTGTCAGCAGGTAACGCGCTCTACCTACATAACTTTAGTATCATTCAGACACAGTGGGAGAGAGAGCACGTTGGGACTGCTCCGACACTGGCAGAATGTCCTCTCTTTTTCGGCTGGCAGCGACGGTTCTTTTAGTGGTGGCTTCTTCCGCAAAGGGCGCGATTGCTCAGAGCAATACGAACGAGACGATCGCCAGGGCGTGGGCTGAGGAATACAACCAAAGAGCGCAGATTGTGTTTGCAGAAAGCGTGGAAGCGGATTGGAACTACAGTACTAACATAACCGACTATAACAGAGATGTTGCAGTAAGTACTTACATATACTAGTATAAGAAAACGTTTTTTTACTTGGGTACGGTCACGAAACAGTGGCGAGTTGGTATAGGTTCATACCAAGCTAGAGCAGCATCTTTATTTGTGAAATGATTCAGCCCCCTTAACCAAGAAGCGGGTCTTTGTGGACCCTTTTCTGGGATGCTTCTCTCTTGCTAATCAAAATCGGGATTAAGTCGCTCTAACTCGGTTCGTCCCATCTGAGCACGTGTCCTTTTCACCATAGCACTATAACACAACTAATTTTTTAAAGACCAAAACTTGATCTATCTCAGTGGGAGTTAAATTCATAGTTGTCCACAGAGATAAGGTACACTTTCATCTGAAAAACAAGCCATTTATTTCCTGCTATAAAACCATGCAATAAAATCAAATAAAATAATATAGTTGGACCACTACTGATTTATATTGGGCCAAAGGGTTCGTTCCCACTGAAACTGCCGTTCTACTTAGATCGATCCAACTCCTCGGGGACTCTCGCTGAATGCAATAACATTAACAGATAAACACACCCCTCTTATTTCCAACGTAGTCGTATAATCACCACATTTTAGTATTCTAGTCAGCGTCTAATCTTTTAATAGTCTCTCCGCCTCTCACACGCCTCCCCATGTGTCGTCCCAATGGAGCCGAGATTTAATGACTGGATCCCCGCAGGGACGACGCATGGGGAGGCGTGTGAGAGGCGGAGAGATTATTAAAAGATTAGGCGGTTTTTCTTTCATGTACGTCCGCCATATTTAGTTCCAGGATTTGTAAAGCCATGGCTCAACTCGTTGTGAATGCTATCTTAATCTGCTAATCTGATTGAACTCAGCGAATGAGCCCAAAGTTGACTAAAGAGTCCAGATAACGACATTCGACTTGCCTTAATTTCGGACGGGCCAAGGAAGATATCAGATTTGCAATACCCTTCTTTGATTAATTGATTTTTCAAGTGAGTTTGTTTGTTTAGAACACTGTACTTTGGAACTCCTTGTCCTAGATTAATTTAAAATCATTGTTTATTTATTAAATAAAGAAACGATACAAAATCCCTGAATAACAGATGGTTTCCCAACTGAGCACAGAGATGAACTAAATAGACAAGAAAAAGCACTGCATTTCCCACTGTGATGCGTTTTGTAAATATGATTTTTTTTTCAAAAATAATTTTAGTTTACAGTTAAAAAATAAAAAAGATAAATAAATCGTAAGATAGCCATAATAGCTATAATAGTTTAAATAAGTGTATTTAAGTAGTAGAAATGTTGTCCAAGAAAGGACTTGATCGGTTAGTATAAATTTTGTAATACATAAAAAGAAAGTTTACCGGCAGTTTTAAATGTACGGTACATACAACATTTTTTAAAAATTTTTCTAACATTCTGAGTGGAATATTTTTCTTAAGCACGGGATTTAATCCAAGGTAAACCGTCCGTTGTCCCCTACTCCTTACTTATTTTCTCTAAGCTTTCCTCGCGTAAATCTGAATACGAGCAAGTACCCCAAGACGTTTTAACATGACTATGAAATATGGATTGAATTATGGATGGCGTAAATTGAATAACCAAACGTTTAGCGAGCCATCTGATGATAGTTTACTCGGGTCATTGGTTGCAAGTTGGACGTGTTTCGGCACGCACGCATTGTTTCGAAGCAGTATATATGTTTTACCCACGGCATGGGCACAAAAATTGAAGTTTAACTACGAAAAAAGAAAGAAAAGGATGCATAGTCGATGTCCGTTTAGTATACAAATTCAGTTAAATTCAAATCTTTGCAGAAATAAAGGGATTACGTGTATGATAAAATCTGCGCTATTTACTGTGTGTGTGTGTGTGTGTGTGTGTGTGTGTAAATAAAATGTATTTTAGACCGTCATTCCTCAAGTCTATATTTATTCATTTCCGCACCCATTTTATAAGGAGTTTGTGACAAGCAATTCAGTCATTTACTGAAGCACTTCTAACGAGACTGTGAAGTGTGCCGTAAATGTTTTATCAGTCGAAAGCCATTAATGATTAAACATGTTATCGCAGGGCAAGTGCTGCTATGCACGCCCACTTAGGGACCATTCAGATCGAGAAGAGCCTAGTGCTAGCAAGGCCGCGACCTAAATATGGCGGACTTACATGAAAGGAACACCGCTTAATCCTGTAATGGGTTCTCCACGTGTGTGAGAGTGTGAGAGGCGGAGAGACCATTACAGGATTAAGCGGTCTTCCTTTCATGTAGGTCCGCCATATTTAGGTTGCGGCCTTGCTAGCACTAAGCTCTTCTCGATCTGAATGGTCCCTTATATAAAGGTAGTGGATTAATCATTAATTGAACGTGGTTGATAATTAATCTTTGTTTTATTTTCACCAGATGAACAGTGCAAAGATACTGATAGTCCAGTAATCGGGGCGTCGTTCTCCCGATGTTGGACGATGACTTCTTTCTATATATGGATAGTTAACTTCTCTATCAGTTTATGGACGCGTATATAGTTCAGTTTTCAGCCTACTTTGTTGGGTTAGTCTTTACCCTATTTTGGTGATTGGAATATTTATCTATTGAACACATCCTTAGATATACATTTTTTATGAAACCTTAGAAAAGCGGTGAATGTATTTATTACTGTCACAAAGTAAGCGTTTAAAAAGTTTTTAAATGACACTTTGTCCGGCTGCAAACACGAATTTAGGGGCTCATTTCCAATAAAACTGTCGTTCTACGTTGATCAATTCAGCTCTCACTGATTGCAATCAGGTTAGCAGATTAACATGCCTCATCTTGTTTCCAACGTGCTCGTGTAAAGGCCAGCTTTTTTGTATTCTACAGGACCCCATGTCTGATTATTTGGCTAGAAATCTTATTCGCAATAAATAAGTTCGATAAAATGATAAAAAAAGACACATATATAACCATATAATCAATTTGAGATGAAGCATTCACGTTTTCAATAAACACTTCACCGGCACGGGGTAGGCCATTTAGATAGCTATATACTATATGCAGTACCGTATGTCCAAATGTTACTTTTAATTTTAAGTATTTTACCAACGAAAATAAAGTTAATTGTTAGTCGAGTTGTGCGAACTAAGTTATTTTTCAGCCGCATCAAGCTGTGCAATTTTTCACACTTATTTGAAGTTCTGAGACACGAAAGAGATTAAACTCAAAACTACGATTTACCTAATTTACCTACGATAAACCAGTACAATATAGTAGTTCAATAAAATGATGCTTTGCCTGTGTTTTATAACAGAAAAGACGTGATCAGACCAGTATTTATCTTTTGGGCGGACTGCTGTTTATTCATGTTCATCTGAAGTACACTAAATTCCGTTTTAGGGTTCATTTGCGACATCGTCCTTTTACCCTTGACTGTGGCACTGTTCTTCCCTGTTGCTAGGCAGGTGACGCTAGATACGTGAATTTAATGATGGAGACACTTTGACTGATTTGGATACAACTTTATATTCATCAGTTTGAAGTCAAGCACCTGGACAGTCAAATATTGTAAAAGAATGTGTCTGCAGTCCGCTCCCCTCAAACGTTTTTGAAAATAAACGCAATATTATTATTTTTGCATATTTTATTCTGAAATTTAAGGTATTGCTTCGGTTGGGTGTAATATAGGTAAATGAGCATGACTCTAACCAGCTTTTTTAAATATGCATACAAGATTTTATTTCATTGCCCATGTGTTCCTGTTTTTGCACTTGTTATTGTTGCGCTGTTATCAATATTCGTCGGCATGTGGTATTCATCTAAACAAGAAGAGGCCCGTTTATAGTGATGTTAACCTAACAATAACTATCTTGTCCTTACAAAGTCGGAGGTCGGTGGCCTCAATATAAGATATGATGGCAATAGGATTAATGTATTTACCATGTGGTTTGAGTTGGATTCAGTTTTTCCTGACGCGCTGAAAACAAACATGGTGCGATTGTTTATTGACTTGTATTTTTAAACTTACTACGACCTTTCGTCCGCTGTAGTTCTATTTTCCAAACATCTGTTCACGTGAATGTAAACTGTCCACGTTTGAAAATGTTCCAAAGTCATGCATGCGTTCTGTGTCTACATTTGTTGCAAAGCTACGTCTCTTTCCCAATTAAGACTCGTAGAACGACAAAACCTCTCAAATAAAAGTACCTGATGTCGATTTTTCCTTAAAAAATGTACAGGCAGACGTGGCGGTCGAAAGGCTTTTAGAAAAAGTATAAAGACCTGCAGTATATAACATAAAATGGCATAAAACATCGGATCAGGGGCAATGGATCGTGCTAAGGACAAAATAAAATAAAAATAACTCGGGAATTTTGGATAGAATGCCAGTTATACCTACAGCTTGTATATGGTGCATTTTTGGTTCGTGCCACGTTTTACATATGCAGGACGATTAAGAGAGTGACTTCACAGCGTTGTGGGAATCCTCACTCGAAAGAAAAGAAAAGGACTGAACGAATTGTTACGGGACTATTTTATTTAAAGTAAATCTCAGTTCTGGTATTAAATTGGAGCATATAGCACTACCCACAGAAGATTCAAGATCTAAGGCTACAAGCAAGGCTGAAATCAAGAAGAATAAGCAGAAAGTCGAAATCTGTGGGGATCATTCAATAGGAAAATGAGATTCGTTTTGGGTTATTCGGTGGCTTTCTCTATTATCTTCCTGCAAATAGCAACAGCACAAGAAATCAAATCGGAGCAAGAAAGGGCAGTCCAATGGCTGAGGGACGTCAATGGCCGCGCCGGCAGAGTGTATAATAACTTACGAGTGGCAAGATGGGTGTACGCTACAAATATAACTAAATTTAACGGAGAAAGACAGGTAATGTTTTGTTAACAGTTAATTTGTAACTGCTATGTAACCGTAACCGTACCGTAAGGGATAAAACATAAAACTGGTGTCAGTCTTATTACTGTGAATTCACCAATCATAATTGTTCTTTCATATTCTATTTCATCGAAACCTTGCGTGTATTATATACGTTGAATCAACTGCGTTAGTTTGTTACAACATTCATTTTCTGGTGAGTACGTTCCAGTATAGGTTGTTTCAACAGCGAACATCTGTGAAGCTAGAGACACAAAATGCCTCTTATTTTATATGGGCAAAGTCCTCGCAAATCGCAAAAATATGTGACAACTAGGACTCGAAACGTTGCTCATGGGGTAGATCATATGGACCATTTCATTTCCGTTTGCTTGCTTTATGAGTCAAACATTCATAAGTAATATACGTGCTTGGCACTGCCTTCCTAGTGCAACAGGGCCTCCATGATATTACTGCTGAAAGCTGAGAAATCCACGAAGAATTTGACTGCATTGTTAGAAAGAAGGAAGGACATTCCATCACAGAACATTGACAGCTTGGGGGCACAGCTTGTATGAGGAACCCTATACCCCCCACCCACCCCCCACCCCAAATCAGAGTATAAGGTTGTGTTCATATTATTATTATTATTATTATTATTATTATTATTATTATTATTATTTATATGTAATTTTTATCCGAACACAATTCAGCAACATCTTTGTGTAATCAGCCCCGACAGCGGGCCTTTTCGGTTGGGGAGATCGAGGCTCTGCGGAGCTCGAGCTCCTTCTGCTTTACCCGCGGGCAGTCCCTACCAGAAGAGTGGCTTATTGTATTATTTTGCATTGCATTGTATTGCAAATTGCGTTGCATTATATTATATTATATTATATTATATTATATTATATTATATTTAGCACAACGCCTCCATCATGTCTGCAGAGTTTGACAGAGAGGCGGCGGCAAATGCTTCATTGTTTGCCTGGGAGAATTTCACCGATCCTGATCTTAGGAGGCAATTCAGAAAAATCTCCGATGTCGGCTCTGCAGCACTCCTTCGCAAGGACAAGGCAAAATACGAGAGGGTGAGTTGATGACACAGTGATGTCACGTTTTATAAGCATGAAGTGCATATGTGACAAAGACATAATACGAAACGATCGTGTCGTAGAGCATTTATAAGAAAATGGGTCTGCTCTGATGTCAGCCAAGACGTAGCTAGTACGCCCTTCGGAAATATTTCAGTGTACAGAAATCGCAATGACAATATTCATGTACATATGACCTTGAGGCAATGCAAAAATATTTATCTGTGGTTTAGATTGAAGTAGGTCTGGTTTGCTTGTCACTGTGTTATGTAAATGTCTAAGATGACATGAATGTCAGTAAGGTCAGAAAGCTTTCCGGATCAGTTACTTTTTGCTTTCCAAATATGCAGCATGTGACAAGAATATTTTTCTCTCTTTCTTTCTTTCTCGTTCTTTCCTTTTTAAGCATAGAGGGCGAATTTTCTTTAATAAGTTGGGGACGTGTGACGAGAATTCGGTGTTAATTTTGCGTTGTAGGCATAACAATTCAGGTTCATAAAAAACTAAAATTGACGCACTCACTTCCTTCACGGTAAAATTCAACAATTTCGCTCATCCACAATGTTTTCATCCCATCGATTAAAAATCCTGACAGAGTAGTTTGTATCCATTTCAGCTCATATCGTTGGTCACCAAGATGGAGACCACTTATAGCGAGGGCCAAGTATGTGACAAAAAGGGCACGTGTTTAGATTTGGAGCCAGGTTAAGTATACGACACACTTTTTTGTTTATTAACCTAGTAGTGAATTGTTTGTTTTAGGGCTTTAAGATCATTGAATTTAATGCATCTCTCTCTCTCTCTCTCTCTCTCTCTCTCTCTCTCTCTCACACACACACACATCTTATTTGTTTAATGTCCAGTCCTTATTACAGGTCTTACCCGATTAATGGCCACCTCGAGAGATTATTGGGAACTTCTTGATGCCTGGAAAGGATGGCGGGATGCAACTGGACGAAAGATTCGAAACGATTACAAGGAATTTGTTGATCTCAGTAACGAGGCCGCTGTTGAAAATGGTAAGCTAGTGAACGCCTGTGCATATGCGTGTTTGCACTGGTGTACGTTTTACTTAATGTGGTAGAATCATATGTGCACCTCACACATCACTTTTAAGATATTCAAACCGTTTTCAAATTAAAATCACTATTCCTGAATCGAAGGACTTGGTTAACGTAGTTACCGGTTCTATTCGTATTTTTTATCGATCCAGATTTATCGATTTATTTTATGGGAATTAATAGTAATTTCCCCTTTTTTATTAAAAGTAGCTACGATCTGTTAACCAGATTTAAAGCTCGAGAGGGGCTCAAAAATCCGAAACTTGAACATGCTCACAGTATTTCACTGAACATTTTTTATTGCGGTATCAACCTTATCCACTCAAACCAAAAATACCATGCTTTCTGCCATTCTTGCAGGGTACCGAGACACAGGGGACTACTGGAGATCCTGGTACGACACTGCCGACTTCCGGGATCAACTAGAGCAACTGTATGAGGAGATGAAACCGCTCTACCTTAACCTACACGCCTATGTGAAGAATAAACTGAAGGCAAAATATGGAGAGAGCTTGTTTCCACCGAGTGGACACATTCCAGCTCACTTATTAGGTATGGGTGTTATCACGTTATAGATGTGGTTCGGAAGTATGCGACAACTTAATCTTGAAATATCACAGTTTGTTAAACCTTGATGTGTTGTGATATATGTAATTTTAAAGAGATAATAACTTTTCTTATGAGATTCGTATTTTACCACCAAAACAGCGGTTATCGCAATTATTCTGGAATCTCTGCTTGTCATCAGACCATGTGAGCCTTCATAGATGGCTATATCTCCTTAATAATCCGTTAAGAAATTATTACAGACACCAAACTTTAAAAGATGGACTAACTTTGATTCATTAACCATAGGCAAGTATGGGAGAATCGTCGTTTACCCCAGGAAAATTCAGTTTTTTTTGTTTTTTTTTTTTTTTTTTTTTTTTTTTTTTCCAAAATGAACGGTTGTCATCCCTTTAAAATGTTGTGATTACTGTAGACCAAAATTTTTGTTCGAGATGAATTGAAGTATTGTATGAGTGATAATGCATTGACACGATTTCAAAACATTATGAGAAATATGCTTCAATATATTGCGTTGGGTTAGCCCCATTATAGAATGAAATCAGCATTTATAAAATATGATATTGAAGTCATTCAAGATATGTATGTCACTGATATGCCTTTGATGATATATAAATTTATACCGTATTGTCAATATATATTGTGAAGTGAAAACAAAATATTTTTTATTCGGCATCAACACACATGACGCCATTGGACGTACTCTCAGTATGACGCTAAGTAAAGCATTTCACTGATTATATTTTCAAGGGAATATGTGGGCCCAAAGTTGGAACAATATATTCGACATCGTGGAGCCTTTTGCTGGGAAACCTAGCGTTGACGTCACCCCTAAGATGAAGGAACTGGTAATGACGGGCTCATAAGTTCTCTTCCTTCTGAAAGTATAAAAATTTATTCAACGGTTATTGTACTGGATATTTTTTGTGTGGTGGCATCTATATTTTTTTAGTATTGGCATCTATAAATTAAGATATAAACACAATATTAGAGCATTGAAAATGTTTCACTCGTAAGTGGTGTGAAATTGCACATCAGCATTGAAATATGGCAGTGTTTTTTATCTCACAAGCACAACACTGCAAGGTGTGTTTTTTTAAATGAATTCTTGGAATTTGATTTAGAATTACACGCCCCGTAGAATGTTCAACATTTCTGACGAATTCTTCACTTCGCTGGGTTTGAAAACAATGCCGCAGGAGTTTTGGGACCATTCCATGCTAGAGAAGCCTACGGATGGACGTAGGGTTGTGTGTCACGCGTCAGCCTGGGATTTTTACAACCAAAAAGACTTCAGGTAAATGTCAACATTGGTGGCCTTTGTAACCGCTCAAAATTAGATCAGTAATAGTGAGCTGACGTCACAAGACGACCAGATATACACAGCATAGGGGTCTCCCTCGTGATTTTTTCTTTTGATCTGTAACAAGTTCTCTAGGGGTAGGGGGGCTCTATAACACGCATATCATCCCCTAACAATGATACAATGGTTTCTACGCCTCCCACGCGGGCCGTTCCAGCAGAGGCAGGGCAATAAAATCTCGGCATGTTTTCGGGGTGGGTGGCGCCATATTTGATCCGCATACTAGTTAGTCCGCGGAATAACTGGTTGTGAATGCTCCCAAAGAGATAAATGAGTCATTGGGTTTCTTTTTTGGTCAGAATCAAACAGTGCACAGACGTCACGATGGAGGAACTGATCACAGTCCACCATGAAATGGGCCATGTGGAGTATTATCTCCAATACAAGGATCAGCCAGTTGTGTACAGGAGGGGGGCAAATCCCGGTATGGATTGCGTGTGTTGCTTTTGCTTTGAATAGTACTTAATTAACTTCTCCTTAGTGTACAAAAAGTTAAATTCATTAGAACGAATATTGATTTGGAGAAAAACTATTGTGAGATTCGTAAAGATTGTTCTAAAAAAAAGGAAGACGAACTTTCTAAAATCACCCCCTCATAAAATGAGATAAAAGAGTAAACATAATAAATGAATAAATAGTGCGTTTACAAATTTTTTGTATTTATAGAAACAAGATAAATGCCCTATTTCTAACACTGTGCAGCACATAGATTTAGGAATACAGGTTACAATACAGAAACGCTAGGTTTAAACTTTGTTTTAAGCATGACACATCTAAGACGAACTCCAATTCTCTGTCCTAATACTTACAGGGTTCCACGAGGCTGTTGGTGACGTATTGGCTCTCTCCGTATCCACGCCAACACATTTGAATCAGATTGGACTGCTGGACAACGTTACCAATGACACTGGTAAAAACAATGAAATATTTGGGAAATCTCGCGTTTTCCGTTTTCAGTGTTTTGTAAGGGAAAAAGTTATCAAAAGCAGTGTGCTATTTTCATATGATACTTGATAGGTTTTTTTTTTTTTACTTCCAACAAGTGTCAAACATTACAAGCCATTATAATCGTGCTAATAAGATTCAATCCCTTTTTCTTGTAGAGAGTGACATAAACTATCTAATGAGCATTGCCCTGGACAAAATTGCCTTTATTCCTTTTGGATATTTGATGGACCAATGGCGCTGGGGTGTCTTTGATGGGTCAATAAAGTTTGAGGATTATAACAAAGAGTGGTGGAAGTTACGGTAGGTGTGGCACGTAACGCATTCGCAATGTGCACAGGTGTGCCGTTTTTACAACTAACACATTCATATTTTGCTTTCATTCGGCCCATCGGGATTGGTTTTGTATTATGTTCATTCGGCCAGAATCCAGTAATTTTTTCAACGCGGGGTAGAAATGGCCTTATTTTGTGGTAGCACACCTAATGCACTCCATATATCAAAAATCCCCCGAATGAAAAAACTTTGATAATAATTTTTTCCGTCTTAGCAAAGTTGTGAATGAAGTGGAAAACTCGGTGCCATTGAAAAAATACTTTTCCGATTGAAAACAAGAATCAGTGTAGCTTAATAGCCCATTGTCAAGAATTCGATGAATGAAATTGCATCAATCTACATCTTCATGCCGCTTATTTACAAGACACCTCGTTATCTGCGTACTGTAGATAAAGGGGAATTTCAAATATACAACAATCAATCAAAGATATTGACTCATTTCAGGTGCAAATACCAAGGCGTTTCTCCCCCAATACACAGGAATGAAAGCGATTTTGATCCTGGTGCCAAGTATCATATACCAGCTAATACGCCATATATAAGGTTCAGTTTCAGTGTATATTGAAATTGTATGTTAACCATTGCTAGGTACTTGGCATTAAGTGGACTTCCAGATCCTGGCCAAGTAACACGAAAGGCGTTTAGTATGCATTAGATAATTTAAAGTAATATAATGGTGTAGGCCTATATTAAAATGCAGGTTATCCTTGGTACCTTTCTATCCAAGTTCATAAATTTTGATGAATTATGAAGCAGTCCGTCTGATTTTTCACACACATAATCCAATATTGAGCATTTACATCTCTGTGTGGAAAAAATACTAAATGGTTAATATGAAGCACCTTTTGAAGAAAAGTGGCTATGTCATTCTCATATTTAGGAGAGGGATTTTTTTTGCTTTTTAAAAATTTAACAGGTGATTATTCAAAAATAAAAACTGTATGATTTCTCTCCACAATAAAAACTTTCTAAAACAAAGTAATCTCATTAATTTTTAAACCTTTATGTCTTCAGATATTTTGTGAGTTATGTCCTACAGTTCCAGTTCCACGAGGCCCTCTGTAACACAGCCAATCAGACAGGTCCCTTGCACATGTGTGACATCTATCGATCTACAGAGGCAGGAGCAAAACTTGGGTAATGTGGCTGTAAAATTGCATACTAAATAAAATACATATTGTTAGTTCATTACGTATCATTTCATTAGTCTGATATACATTATTTTGATTAAATTATCAGTTACTAAGTTCCTATTTATTAGTATGCAACCCTCAACAGAAAGCTATGGAAAGTGTACCAAGACATAATTCACTACTACGACACTATTTGTAAATTCTAGCTATATATTCAAATTTAGTATCAACAAGTATATAAATATAGAAGAAATAGCATTTCTGCATTCCCCCAGTGAAAATTCAAAACATTTTACAGTATAACTGTTGCATAATGTCACAATTGCGTCAAGCATTGTAAAACACTTCTTCATATGACTGCATATATTTGCCAAAAACAATCCAGTGTAACTATCACACCTACAGCAATTACACCCAAACATCATCACAACTAACACAATCCCTGCAAACTGTGAAATCTAATGCAATTAAACCTTTAATGTTATCTGTTTACCTTTATATTTTAGTAACATGTTAAAACTTGGATCCAGTAAACCATGGCCAGATGCACTGGAGCAAGTTACAGGGACCCGTAACATGTCCGCTAACGCCATCTTGCTCTACTTCAAGCCTCTAATTGATTGGCTAAAGGTCCAGAATCAAGGTCAGACCATAACATGGTCTGAAGAATGTCCAATTGAGTATTACACGACTACTTCTGCTCCTTCAACCACCACCAAATTCAAGCCAGCAAATTCAACTGGAAGGTTGCATAATAGTTTCTTTATAGTAGCCTTTATATCTGTATTGACACGTTACATTGTAAGATGAACACACATGTGAAGTACTAATTGGTGTCGATTAAGACAGTAGAGCAACTGACATGTCAATTCAAAGTTAAAATCACAGTAATACATTTTAAGACCATAACAGAAATGTATTGAAAATCACACTAGAATTTATCTTTCCGATTCTTCATTCTTATATTTATACTCAGGAGCCCCAACTTGTGCTTACATACATATTATACTTATTAAAGAATCCGAATATATTTGAAAGAAAATTAATTACAAAAGGCTTTAAGGATATTATGGATACAGTATCAAAGTGGCAAGTGTATAATACCTTTTTATATTTCTTTTTTCCAAAATTGACATCAGTGCATTGCTATATTTTGGTTTCTTGTAAACTAACATTTGAATGATTGATTGAGGAAAATCTTCAGTTTTAATCAGTGATTTAAAATCAAAATTTAATAACAATAATTTGAAGGAATTGGCTACCTTGCAAATAATGAAAAGAGGTGAAATGTGAATTTTCGTCATTTGCAGGGGCATTTTGGTGGCCTAATCAACAGTGATTATTACTGTCAACATGGCTTTCTGCTTTGTTTTTGGGTGTATTCACCAAAGTAGCAGACAAATGTTTTTTTTCCAATTCCCTATGGATAAGGTCAAACAGATGGCAGGCAAAGCAGGATTAAGATATTCTATATTTCACTGTACAGTAGGCAGAAAGTAAACAAACCTGTTCCCAGAAGTTGGTATGTTGCACAATAACATTGCAATATCAGCATATGATTGCACATATGCAAATAAGACTTTATTGCCCTAACGGTAAAGGGGCAAAATAGCTAAATAAGTGCACCATAAAAATGTTAATTGTCAATAATATTGACAGAAGTTGGCATATCATCTCATATATGCAAACAAAACTTAGGTGCCCTATTTGTAAAAGGGCAAAATAGCTAAATAAGTGCACCATTCAATAAGATTGACAATTAACATTTTTATACCACTGGGATCTGAAAGGGCTTTAAATATTTGTCACCATATCCAGTATGTTTGAGATCAAATGGCACAAAATACAATTGGTTAGACATATTATTTAATATGAAATATTTAATCAGCTTTATATCTAACTGGGATTTTAAAGGTATATCCTTTTGTCAGAACATTGTTGTTGTTCCATAGCTTGAAACTCTATAAAATAGATACTAGGCAAACTATTCTCTGATTGCTTTCATGCTATTGCATCAATTTATCAAAGCATTAAAATATTTTTGTATGATGTAATTACATTGTTATTCATCCAGAACTAAGAAAGAGAGAGAAAATAATTACACAATTAATGTTAAGCTTACTGTGTATGTTTTTTTTTTTTTTTTTTTTTTGGGGGGGGGGGGGAGGCGGGGGGGGGGAGATTTTTGAACAAAGTTTTTTGAGTAAGTATTTTAGGGCTTAAATCACAATGAAATCAATTTGGACCTTACCTTAATAGCATACTGCAAGGCTAGAGCAATTGCATTCAGTGAGTGACTCTCTTTCTCTGCAAAATTTAAGATAAGCAACAGGTGTCCTTGTGGATGCTACTTCATACAACTTATTTAGCAGTAAATCTTTTACTTTGTTTTAAATGTTGTTTAAAAAATTTATAGTCAGTGATGGTTTTTCTAAGCTAGGATCTATACATATAATTTTTCCTAAACTGTTTTGTATTAATAAAAGTAACTTAAGTTTCTGTTTCATTTTTCTGTACTTAACTGGATCATACATCAAATAAACATTAATAAAGCAAAATAATTCCAGGCATAACACACAGAATAAGCTTTTATTCTGCCTAAAATCACACATTTGATTTATATTTGGCCAAGTCTTAAAAGTGAATTTTGCAGATTTAAGAAGCTGAATACAAATAAAAGCAAAATAAATTTATTAATAAATCAATGAATAAACAGTCATTTTTGTTCACCCTTTCTTGCAATTATAACAGTCAGAAATGAATTAGAATATGGCAATTTTGGCATTCCCTTTGAAGATATTTAAATTTTACTGAGATGGACAACAATTATGATAATAAAAACGGTTTATTTTTCAGCCCCACTTGTTTTACTTAAATTCTCAAACTCAAATTCTTTCTTAACATGAACGTTCATTACTCCAATTTATAACTAAGAAAAGATACTGTTTTCTTTGTCGGAAAAGCACAGGAAGCTAGATTTTGTACTTATATAAGTCTGGAGCCTCTGAAACCGAATGCCATTCCCTGTTTAAATATTCACAATAGTTATATAGGAAATTAGGGGAAGGAAAAAGACATACTTGGCAATCATAAACGTATTGTTTCCTGGGAATGATGACGACCAGAAGTTGGAGCTTGTTATAGCTGACTGTTGTAGAACTTCAAAATACACAATAAGAGCTAGCTTACGAATACAGACGATCATTATTACATACAGCAAATGGGTTGTTATAATATACTGTATATTGTATGATCACCAAACCACGATAAACACAAGCTGTGTGCTCGTGTATTTTCCTTTCATTACATTTTAAGCAAATAAGTATATATTGGCTTGTAGGCTCATTGGTGTGAGTAGGACTGACTGTGCAAGTCGCTCTTTTAAGTACTGATCTACTAAATTGTAACACGCCATGGAGTAAATCAGGTCGATTTGTATAGGGTGGCGTCTGTAAATACAAAACCTTTGTACGCAAGTCTTCTTAGCTAGGTGTTATTGAAAATACAAGTCTTCAATACATGTATGACTAATATTGGAAAGGAAAGCGAAAATTTGCCTTACAATCTTCTGGCAAGGAGGCAAAATGAATGGAAACAGAGCCACACAATTTATGGATAACTTAACAATAGTAACCGAATTCGCAGAGATATTGTGAAAGAGAGTAAAGTCCCGTGAACCGCTCGGACTGTTTTAACTTTAACGTATCAACAACATAAAAAGGACCAAAGCATTTGTGTAGAAAGGAGTTGGCCTCTTTCCAAACAGACTATTTCTGTTTTCTAGCTACATTTGTATGCGTTTCTTTTGCTTGTCTGCCTCACCCAATTTTGTGAGGTCAGGTACATGTGTATTCAAGCCTCTTTGACCGTAAATTGCACTTGTCCTCCCCTTGTTTTCTCAGCCCTATTGTTTCAAATAACCTGAAAGAAAGATGCCCTCGTTAACCACATCATTGCCCCAGTAACTCTGAGCATGTCTCTACTTCCCACTGAAAACATATTAGGCATTACCCTAAATCCATGTGACCTGTCGGTGTCAGCAGGTAACGTGCTCTACCAACATGACCTTAGCATCATTCAGACGCAGTGGGAGAGAGAGCACGTTGGGACTGCTCCAACACTGCCAGAATGTCTTCTGCTTTTCGGCTGGCAGCGACGGTTCTTTTAGTGGTGGCTTCTTCCGCAAAGGGCGCGATGGCTCAGAAAAATATGAACGAGACGATCGCCAGGGCGTGGGCTCAGGAATACAACCAAAGAGCGCAGATTGTGTTTGCAGAAAAGGTGGAAGCGGAATGGAACTACAGTACTAACATAACCGACTATAACAGAGCTGTTGCTGTAAGTACTTACTTATACTAGTATAAGAAAACTTTCTTTACTTGCGTACGGTCACGATAATGAACGCGCCGGCAGAATGTCTTATATCTTACAAGAGCATGATGTGTGTTCGCTACTAAATTTATCGGAGAAAGACGGGTACTGTTTTGTTAACAGTTGTAACTGCTATGTAACCGTAACCGTACCGTAACGGATAAAACTGGTGTCTTATAACTATGAATTCACCAATCATAATTTTTCTTTCATATTCTATTTCATCGAAACCTTGCGTGTATTGAATACATTGCATCAACTGCGTTAGTTTTGTTACCACATTCGTTTTCTGGTGAGCACGTTCCACTTTAGGTTCTTTATACAGCGAACATCTAAGAAGCTAGATACACACAATGCCTCTAATTGTATATGGGCAAAGTCCTCGCAAATCGCATTGCATTGCATTACATTACATTGTATATTTAGCACAACGCCTCCATCATTTCTGCAGAGTTTGACAGAGAGGCTGCGGAAAATGCTTCGTCGTTTGCCTGGGAGAATTTCACCGATCCTGATCTTAGGAGGCAATTCAGAAAAATCTCCGATGTCGGCTCGGCAACACTCCTTCGCAAGGACAAGGCCAAGTACGAGAGGGTGAGTTGATGACAGTGATGTCACGTTTTATAAGCATGTAGTGCAGATGCAGGGGAGGATTTAGGCCGTCTTCTGGGTCTTCCGGAAGACGGTCAGATTTTCAAGTTTACATTGACGGGTATCTTTTTTTTGTTGGAAGACGGTCAAAATTGGAGGATGAATCAACAAAGACAATTGGAAGACTGTCAGTAAATAGCTCTGGATCCGCCCCTGAGATGTGACAAAAACATAATATGACACGATCGTGTCGTGGAGCATTTATAAGAAAATGGGTCTGCTCTGATATCTGATTTCAGTTTACAGAAATGTGTACAGAAATCGCAAATGAAAATATTCATGTACATATGAACTTGAGACAATGCAAAAATATTTATCTGTGATTTAGATTGAAGTAGGTCTGGTTTGCTTGTCTCTGTGTTATGTAAATATCTTGGATGACATGAATGTCAGTAAGGTCAGAATTAAAACTTTCCGGGTCAGTTACTTTTTGCTTTCCAAACATGTAGTATGTGACAGGAATATATATTTTTCTTTCTCTTTCTTTCGTTCTTTGTTTTTTAATTTTCTTTACAAAGTTGGGGGCGTGTGACGAGAATTCAGTGTTGATTTTAAGTTGTAGGCCTAACAATTTAGGTTCTTAAAAAACTCAAATCGACGCACTCACTTGCTGATGGGCAAAACTTCACTGTAAAATTCAACAATGTCTCTCTCCCACAATGTTTTCATCCCATCGATTAAAAATCCTGACAGAGTAGTTTGTATCCATTTCAGCTCATATCGTTAGTCACCAATATGGAGACCACTTATAGCGAGGGCCAAGTATGTGACAAAAATGACACATGTTTAGATTTGGAGCCAGGTTAAGTATACGACATACTTTTTTGTTTATTAACCTAGTAGTGAATTGTTTTAGGACCATTGAAGTTGATACATCTCTCTCTCCCTCTCTCTCTCTCAACAAAACTCATTTGTTTAATGACCAGTCCTTATTACAGGTCTTATCCGATTAATGGCTACCTCGAGAGATTATTGGGAACTTCTTGATGCCTGGAAAGGATGGCGGGATGCAACTGGACGAAAGATTCGAAATGATTACAGGGAATTTGTTGATCTCAGTAACGAGGCCGCTATTGAAAATGGTAAGTATGCCTAAGTGAACGCCTGTGCATATGCGTTTTTGCACTGTGTACTTTTTATACTTAATGTGGTAGAATCATATATGCACCACACATTAAGATATTTAAACCATTTCAAATTAAAATCACTATTCCTGAATCGATAGACTTGATTTACATAGTAACTGGTTTTATCCTTAGTGTTTGTCGATCCAGGAAAAGCAAAGTAGTGTAAATATTCACCTGCAAGTAGAGGTCGATGAAAATCTGAAGTTCAAACTAAAACAAGGGACATAAATTTTGAATATTTCAAAATTATGTTTTTAAAAGGCAAGCAGTGGCCGTTATACTTTTATATAAGAAAAGAAATATTTATTTTGTGGTAAATAAGAGGAATTTCCTCTTTATAACTAAAAGTTGTTACGATCTTAACCAGATTTAGAGCTCGTTATATTTAATAAAACGTCTCCCTCTTGCGAGAGAGGCTCAAAAATCCGAAACTTGAAACACTGAAAACATTAATTGCTCGCAATTTTGTCAACGGTATATGATGTGGTATATAACCCATTGGTAAGGCAGAGGTGATGAAAATTCCCAAAAAATTTATTTTGTCAATATAATAATGTAACGTAAATGTGAAGACTTTTTGCTGTGAGAAGGGGAGGATCCAGGGCTATTTGAAGGGGGGGGGGGGGGGGGGGGCGGGGGGGGGGGAGCCCCCCCCCCCCCCCCCTTTTTGTGGGGGTTGGGGGGCCCCGGAGGCCCCCAAAATTTTTGGTTTTTTTGGGGGG